CCTGAATTTGCCAACTCACCAAATTTAGTCTCTTACCAATAAAACTGTACTTCACTTGATTATAGTAAGGTTATTGTATTAATTTTCATTAGGACCAGAGAAGAAGAAGCATAAAGGACAGATACAGGTGTATGTTATAAGATGGCGTCCATCACAATGTTCAGTTGATCCAATAGAAGAAATTATACTGGATAATAATGATCCTAAGCATGCTATTGAAAAGGTAATCATAATTTTATTATTGCACTGCATGGGACAGTACTTGTTCAAACAAGTAGTTGCGATGCTCTAAGATTAAAACTGCATGTGTATACTGTATTCATCTGTGATAAGTATACAATATAGATAGAAAAGCTGGTGGAATAAAAATTTGACGGAATGAAAATTTGGCAAAATTGGTAAATGGATGTTAATTTACCAAAATTTTAGTCTCCAATTTGATAGATTTCCATAGAAGTAAGCACAAAGGTAAATTTTGCCCAAATTTTAACCTCCAAAACTCTTTTAGAGTCAATTCACCAAATTTTAACACTCCAAATTTTTCAGCTATACGGTAGTTGGCAAATTTTGGATTTTATGTCAAATGGCAGATTTGATAATGGTAAAAATTGTCAATCACCAATACAAATCTATAGGTTTATATTAACATCAATGTACAGTAAGCCTATGAATAAATACCAGGAGCCCACACATGTAGGTATACGTATGTACCGTGTATATTACCGTATAGCTTGAAATTTTCGTGGGTTGATATTTTTGTGGGTTGATATTTTCGTGGTTTGCTCCTAGTGGGGCAATTTGTGGTTTAATTTTCGTGGTTGACAGTTTACATAGCCTGTAGGGGATGGCATGATTTCGTGGATTTAAATTTTGTGGGCAGCCCATAACCACGAAAACCACGAAATTTACATTCCACGAAAATTTCAAGCTATATGGTATTATTATTATTGTTTTTTACAGCTGTCAGAGTTAAGTGGAGTACCTGCTGAGTATATCTTTTGTGCAAAGGTTAATCATTGATACAAAAACATAATAATAATAATGCTCCCTCTCTTTAACTCTTAGTATGGATTATCATTATTTCCAGTTGAGATGTCATGTCTTGATATTGAGAATAAGTTGATATGGTATTCCATCACTTCAGACAGGTCCTCATTAGAACTATTTAGTGATGGACGTGTCATATATTACAAGTATTAATGAGCACACACACTTACATACACCTCTTACTGTTTATAATTATTTAGAGACAATAGAGAGACAATGAAAGAGTTAACAAGTGGCAGAGGAAGCAAGGTACTATCAATTAATGATCCAAAATAAATGCATTAGTATTATAGAAAATCATAAATTTTTTACATTTTCATAAATTTTAAAAAAATTTATAATACAAATAAGACAGTCTTCATGTTATTATGATAGTTCATTTATTATATTACTGTAGGTTGAAGAAAATTGAGAAATACTGGTTGGATTAATTTAATTTAGAAGCTTGTATTATATCATTTTAATCTTTATATTTTAAAATTAATGGTAATTTTAAAATAATTATGTATCCAAGTGCACTTTAAAAAACTCTTGTGTAGTTTGTTTAATGGCTCCATTTTACTTTTTTATTATTGAGAATTTTACAATGCACTAGAGTTTACACAACAGTGGCAATGACTATGCTATGCACTGAAAAGTCCCTAAGCAGCTTGTGCTTGGACCATAAACTAAAAGGCCAGGTATTCTATCTCAAGGCTTAAATTGGACACAGGCAGTTGAGGAATATTGAGTTTACAACAGTCAGAAGAAAATCAGAGTGTGAACCATTGTCAATGGTTCACACTCTGATTTGTCCTTTGGTGAGAATATCACCTGCTATGTCTACATTGATTGATCATAAGTGACTTGAGGGAGGGGTTGGCTACATGAGACAAGATTTAACAAGATCCTCACAGGAGTCTGATCTGCAGCTGCCTAACCAGTAACATCCATCACAAGGCAACTTATGGTGTATTAATCAGTATCACTATACATTTTGTAGGATTATAGTATATGCAAGCAAATTTTTTAATCATTTTTTTGTGCATTAAGTTAAAAATGAATGGAGTATGATATCTATACACATAAACAAAAGTTACACTTCTTCCATATCAGTAATATCCTCCTCTTCCCCCTCTCCTTCACTGCTTGATGATGATGAATATTGTAAATCATGACTCAATATGTCCATACCACCACCAGTGACTGGTAACAAACTACTGGCTATCAATCCTTCTCCTTTCCTCCCTTTCTCTATATCCTCTTCATCTGTGCCTTCAACATCTATAGTCCCAATCTATACAGTCATTGGACAATCAACAACTATCATATTGTACACCAGGAAATTTTGGAGGGACTAAATTTTTGTAAATTGTTAAATTTTGGTGATTGGTGAATTTTAATTTGGCAAAATTGTGGCTATGTGTCGCTGAGCATGCACATAATGGCTCAAAATGGCAGATTTTTAAATTGGTGAATGACTATGAAATGGAAAATTTACCAAATTTAACTTCCAAAATTTCCTGCTATACAGTAATCTGTTTGTTCCCATACCTGAATACTGTCTTCACTAGTAATGATGACACTGGATTGTCCAGTAATTG